CTGGAATATATCAGTACAACAAATATGCACCTCCTGTGGATGTGGATTTTTTTTATTGTTACTGTTTCCTTCCTTTCCTCAAAATAGTTCCTGAAGTTCCCCTACATAAAGGAGGACAAATGCTGGGTGGTTCTAGAAGGCAGGCTGGCAAAAAACTGTGAGGTAGTAGGTACCCTTAAAAGTTGCTTTGAACTCCTGTATGGAGTAGGAGCTATTTAAAGTTCTAATGCACTTCCAGTGTTTTAAATGAAGATTTGTTAGTTGAATTCATAGAGACATCTACCAGTTAAGGTAGTAAATGCTAAGACCATTGGCTTTCTGACCACCTGAAGAAAGGCAATTAATGAAATAATAGATGTTTTTTACCAAAAAAGCCTGGCAAATTTAACTAAGCCTGCCCTTCTTGAGGACGTGGAAGTTTGGAAATAAAAGCAGCTACAAGTAAGGGAGGGAATGGCCACATGAGTATTGGCTTACACCAGAGAAAATGAAGTTAACTAGCAGTTGCTTGCTTGTCTTTCTCAGCATAAAATAAGCAAAGGTCTTTTACTCCCAGAGGTGGTATTCACCATGTAAGTCACTTTGCTAGCACAAACAAGTCTTGTGTGTATGAAGGCTGATCAAAGTAGTATCATACTCCATCGCATGGGCCAGTGTGTGGCTCATGGGATGCTTCCAGCCGGCAGGCTGCTGTGGTGGTTTGGGCAGTGTTTGCTTTCCTTGCAGCCAAACGCCTGTTGTGCTTAGACAAGCATCTGTCAAGCTTATGGGCAGGAGCACCTTCCACTGGACCAGGTTGCTCAAAGCCCTGTACAACCATTGCAGGGATGGGGCAGCCACAGCTTCTCTGGGCAACCTGTGACATTGTCTCATGATCCTCATAATGAAGAATTTCTTACCAATGTCTAATCTAAATCTCCCTTCTGTCAGTTTAAAGCCATTCCCTGCTTTTCCTGTCACTACAAGCCCTTGTCAAACATCCCTCTCCAGTTTTCTTGTAGTCCCCCGTAGGTATTGGAAGGAGGTGCAAACAATGCCTGGGACCTTCCATTCTTTCCTGCATTTCCAAATACAGGGAACCAGGATCCTCAGAAACAAAATACAGTGCCCCTACTGCTGTGTCCGTTTCACAGCATATAGTCTCATGGAGAAATACCTCTACCAGTAGTTATTACACCTAATCCTGAGATACAGCGTATGTAACCTCCCAAAGCGCACTGTTTTATTAAATGGTATAAGTTCTCCATAGATGTTTAGCTTCTTCTTAATACTTTCTGCTTAAAACAAAACAGACTGTCCAACACAGATCTCTTAAGTGTGTCTGAACTAGCTTCGGGGTTAACTTTCAGGTTCCCTCCCTCTAAACCTCAAAATAGATGAGCTGAAAGATGTATCTCTCGGCCATGACCTTACACAAAACCCAGACTTAAGGCTAGAGGTGTTATGGCTAGGGTGCTGTGAACTCTGCTCCTGAAAGGGCTCTGGGTACTTCAAAATGAGTGATGTAAACAGCGATGCCTCCCACCACCACTGTTTATTGTTAGCTCTCAGCTGGAAGCTTCGGCAGTGGCTAAGGGCCTCTCCTCCTCCTCTAGTGAGGGGCACATTTGTCTGTGCAAGGGGTGATAAATCCCTGTGCCTGGTGTTGCTCTGCCTTACACAGCGGCAATGCCTCCAGCCCGAGGCATGAGCTCCAACCAGACCCAGCCAAGTGAGTACGCTTACAGTGCAGCGCCCTGGGGAGCAGTGTGCTGGTGGTGTTGGGTTTTAGAGGTTAAGCAGCTTGTTCGGAGCCAGTTCAGTACCTCTACAGGGTGGCACATCCATCTCCCTTAGGTAGGCTGGGCTGCAGGACCGCAAGCCACTAAGTGCATTGGAAAACATTCAGACAGCTTTGTTTTGCTGAGGAATGGACTTGGACACACTGAGGTGCAGGGGAAGACTAACAGGTAGTTGTAACCACGTGTAATGAACCAGGGGCAAACATGTATTTTTATCCACTGTAAAAGTTACACTAAGTTTAAAGCTGCCTATGTGACTTGGCTTCGTTTTTTCAGCTTGACATAAACGATTTCTACTTCATTATTTTTGACCACTTCTCATGAGAAATGTTTCTAGTTGATTCTGCCACTTCAAATATACACACAGTGGTATGGGATATAGGGTCTGCTACCAGCAGACGCAGATACAGTCACCAAAGCTGTAAATTCCGTTTTGTATTATTAGAAGTAGTATCTGTGTTCCAAGTGGAGCTAACACCCTTATAGGCACCTAAGCGCCACACAGCTGCTCACTCAGTACCCTGCAGTGGGATGGGGGAGAGAATTGGAAGAGTAAAAGTGAGAAAACTCTTGGATTGAGGTAAACAGTTTTATAGGGAAAGCAAAAAACCCAAAACAACAACAAAACGCACACAAAAAAAAAACACAAAAAAAAACCCAAAATGATAAAAAAAAAACCCTCAGCCAACTGATACTCAACCAGTCCCTGAACAGCAGCCCCAGCAAACTCCCCCCATCCCTTCCCCCAGCTTTTTATGCTGAGGACGATGTCATATATATTTAGGGGCCTATAAGGATGCTGGGGATGGACTGATCATTAGGGACTGTAGTGATAGGACAAGGGGTAATTGGTTAAAACTTAAACAGGGGAAGTTTAGATTGGATATAAGGAAGAAGTTCTTTACTGTGAGGGTGGTGAGGTACTGGAATGGGTTGCCCAGGGAAGCTGTAAATGCTCCATCCCTGGTGGTGGTGTTCAAGACCAGGTTGGACAAAGCCTTGGGTGATATGGTTTAGTGTGAGGTGTCCTGCCCATGGCAGGGTTGGAACTTGATGATCTTAAGGTCCTTTCCAATCCTAACCATTCTATGATTCTGTATGGTCTGGAACATCCCTTTGGTCAGTCAGGATCAGCTGTCCCAGCTGCACCCCCTCCCAGCTCCTTGTGCACCTCAGCCTACTTCCTGGTGGGGTGAGGAACAGAAAAGGCCTTGACTCTGTGTAAGCCCTGCTCAGCAACAGCTGAAACATCCCTGTGTTATCAATTCAGTTTTCAGCACAAATCCAAAACACAGCTCCATGCTTGCTACTAAGGCAAAAATTAACTTTACCCCAGCCAACACCGGTACAACCTTTATGAAGTGAGCGATATTAGAGCAATGCATTATCCTCATCCTCACCGAAGGAGGAAACCTTACACAGACAGCAGGGTCACAAGGAACTGCTCCTTCTCTGATACATGGCATTAGCTCCTTTCATGTCATAGTGGTTTATCACTGATTTTTCACCCTAACTGCTCACCTTGCCACTCAAAGCTGCCAACTTACCCGGTGAGGTTACAGACCTGCTCAGAACCGCTCCAGCCTCAGCAGGCAGCACTGAGTTTCCACGCTCCTTTCCTTTCTCTCCCTTTTCCCTTTGTATTTTAAGGGTATCTGCCCATTAATGAGCACTGGGAATAAGTTTTGTTTTCAGGAGCACTTAAGGTGGGAATAAACTCCCCCGCGCAGCCTCTGGTTCTTTCCACTGATGCTCTTCCTACCCCTTTCCAGGAGCCCCATCGAGGCTGCCCACGAGACCAAGGACAGGTTTTTACACTGCTATGAAATTAATCCAAAGTATGTGTTTGTTTCTACAGGAAGCAAGGCTAGAAGCCACGTTCCTTGCTCAAGTTAAAGGGACCGGCATAATACCCACATCAACAGAAAGCATACATCATGAAAGGTTAAGGAAAAGCAGTCACCTGTTACCCATGAAACCTTTCACAGAAACAGGGCTTACAGAAAATCCAAACGACTCCTTAGGTCATGAGTAAAATTTAATCCATTAAGTGCCCCCCAAAAGTCAGCTTAAGGTAAGGACAACCTGACAAACCTTTGAAAGCCCTTACTGACCTGCTAGCTAGCTTTAAAACCCCAAGAATATTGGCTGAGAGGTCGGGCTCAGACAGTAAATGGGGTTACATCCAGCTCAGCGGCCAGTCACCAGTTGAGTTCAGGAGAAACCCGAGTTTCGGGGCTCAGTTCTAAGGCACGTTCTCTTTAATGTTCTAACAAATGATATAAATGAGACACAGGAGTCAAATGTACAGTAAGTTTGCTGACAACACTCAACAAGGAGGAGCTGTGGACTCCCTCAAAGGCAGGGGGGCCTTACAGAGAGATCTGGATTAGAGCTGGGCAATCACCAACCATATGAAATTTAACAAGAGCATCCTGGGATGGGATGATCCTGTGGTACATACAAGTTTGGGGTCGAGAGACAGGAGAGCAGCCCCGTGGAAAAAGACCTGGGGGTTTGGGTTGAGGACAAGGTGACTGTAAGTCATTAGTGTGCCCCGGCAACCAAAAGGGCCAACCACGTCCTGGGGTGTACCAAGCACAGCATGGCTGGGCAGTCAAGCGAGGTGACTGTGCCACGTCACACTGCCCCTGTGCAGCCCCACCTTGCGTACTGTGTGCAGTTTTGGGTGCCCCAGTATAAGGACATCAGACCCTCATAGTGTGTCCACAGGAGGGTGACTGAGTTGGCAAGAAGCCTCAAGGGCAAGACTTACAAGAAGAGGCTGAGGTTACTTCATTGTTCAGCCTGGAGAAGAGAAGGCTGAGGGGTGCCCTCACTGCAGTCTACAGCTCCCTCAAGGGGGGCAGCGGAGGGGAGGTGCTGATCTCCTCTCTGGAGGGCAGCTGTAGGATACAAGGAAATGGAATGTAGCTGCATCAGGGGCGGTTCAGGTAGGACATTAGGAAAAGGCTCTTCAGTGGGAGGGTGGCTGTCCACTGGAACTGGCCCCCCAGGGAAGTGGTCACAGCCCCAAGGCTGTCGGAGCTCAAGGGGTGTCTGGATGACACTCTCAGTCATACAGTTTAGTTTTAGGTAGTCCTGTGAGGAGCAGGGAGTTGGACTTGGTGATCCTTACGGCACCCTTCCAATTTGAGACATCATTTGATTCTGTGATTGTAAACGTAGGTCTTTACAGAAGGACACTTGAAAATCAAACACTTTTATCATAGTAAATTTAATCAGGCTTCTAACAAAGGAGACTCCTAACAAACTATACAGTTATAATGAACACTTTTAATAAAAAATATATTAAACATAATTTCAGGATTTTCCCACTAGCATTTCCAACCCAAAGCAGAAAGTTTGATGCAACACCCTGGAGGCTCTCAGTCCTGTAACAAGCAGTGAAGTGCTTCTGCCTCAGAGAAGGCTTTGCCTGTGGTTTCATGACAGATCTTGGCAAACTGGGTTGCTGCCAGAAGGGGCGGGTCAGATCTGACTACTGTGCCACAGCAGGTTGCCTCTCTTCCCTTCTCTCCCTCCCCAGATTAGCATCCTGTAGGATGTGGGAGCTGATTCCCACTTACTGTGCAGCCCACACAATGCCGGGTGCCAACAAGGTAAGTTGTAGGTCATCTCCTTCGAGCAATGTGAACTCTTGTTGTAGAAACCAACAAAAGCCAACTGGAAAACCACACCCTGCTGACATTAAAGCTAATTGGGCACCTCAGGAATCTGATGCAATACACTTTTAATATACCCTATCAAGATTTGCATGTGTAAGATGCTGTGATACAAACAGTACCTTGTACAGGCAAAACCATTGCTATTTCCCTTACTTTTCTGCACACCATTCTGGTGAAACCTTGGAAGCTCTCTTGATAAAGGGGCTGAATTCAGTGACTTTTTAATTTCAAAATAATGTGCACTTTGGAAGTTTTTTTACAGAGTTTCACGTTTCTAAATGCAAATGTATACAAAACAATCATGCTTATACTTACCTTTGTGTTTATGACTCAAATTATCCCCTTCCTAAAACATTCATAAAAAACAGAACGTTATTACATGTAAAGAGAATTCAACAGTCAGGATATCACCAATGAGTCCTAAGTATTTTTCACCTCTGAAAAGTAATCATGCAGCACTGGCAGCCTCCCCAACCACTCAACCAACTCTAATCACTCTAGCAGGTCAATAGGGATGCCAGACATTATCCAGAACCACCTAGGTGTGAAATGATGATGAATCTGGGGCCTTACAGTTCAACTTGACATTATACCTAATCCAAAGGAAACTTGGGAGTTCCTAAAGAGACAATGCTGCTCACTTTCCTTGTCCCCCTGAATTCCTGCTCCTTCTTGATGCCAGAAATGAAGATTACACACAGCCTCCTGATTGTGAAAACTGCTGCATGAGAAGTGGTGAGAAGGCTTAAGGGGGGAGACAGAGAGAGTAGGAGAAGGGACCTTTCCCTGCTCAGTGGTTACCTGCAGTTATACTCTGTAAGGTGCAGTCAAAAACATAACAAAGGACACATTTAGTAGCAAATAGTAACAAAAAATGGAATTCATCCTACATAAAACTCAAACACAAGCAGGAGATACACAGGAGGTGGAAGCAGCGACAGGCCACCTGGGAAGAATATAGGGATGTTGTCAGAGTATGCAGAAATGCGACAAGGAGAGCCAAGGCTCTTTTGGAAAAATATCTAGCTAAGGACGTCAAGGACAACAAGAAAGGCTTCTTCAAATACATCAATAATAAAGGAAAACTAGGGAAAACGTAAGCCTGCTACTGAATGGAGCAGGGATGCCCCTGGTGACAGAGGACACAGAGACACTGAATGCCTTCTTTGCTTCAATCTTCAATGCCAAGGTCAGCCCCCAGGAGTCCCTGACCCAGAAGACGACAGGGAAGGTCTGGAGAAAGCAAGTCCTTCCCTTGGTTGAGAAGGATTGGATTAGAGATCATGTAGACAAACATGACATCTGCAAGTCCAAGGGATCTGACAAGATGCACCCATGAGTGCTGAGGGAGCTGGCAAACCTTATTGCTAGGCCACTCTTGATCATCTTTGAAAGGTCATGGCAAGCAGGAGAGGTGCCTGAGGACTGGAAGAAGGCAAATGTCACCCCAGTCTTCAGTAACGGCAAGAAGGAGAAGCCTTGGAGCTACAGACTGGTCAACCTCACCTCAATCCCTGGTCAGGTGATGGAATGGCTCATCCTGGAGACCATACGGAAGGCATGTGGAAGACGAGGCAGCTATCAGGAGTAGTCAGCATGGATTCACCAAAGGGAAACTGGAAATAACCCCAAGCACCAGTACAGGCTGGGAGCTGACCTGATGGAAAGCAGCTCTGCAGAGAAGGACCTGGGGGTCCTGGTGCACAAGTTGTTCATGAGCCAGTCATGTGCCCCTGTGGCCAAGAAGGCCAATGGTATCCTGGGCTGCATCCGGAAGAGCACTGCCAGCAGGTCGAGGGAGGTAATCCTCCCTCTACTCACCCCCAGTGAGGCCTCATCTTGATTAGTGTGTCCAGTTCTGGGTTTCCCAGTGCAAAAGAGACATGGAGCTCCAGGAGCAAGTCCAGTGAAGGGCTATGGGAATGAAGAAGGGTCTGGAGCATCTCTCGTATGAGGGAAGGCTGAGGGAGCTGTTCAGCCTAGAGAAGACTCACAGGCTCGGATCAGTGTGCGCAAGTATCTGAAGGGAGGGTGTCAAGAGGATAAGGCCAGACTCTTCTTGGTGATGCCAAGTGACAGAATGAGAGGCAATGGGCATAAAGCAGACCCCAGGAAGTTTCATCTGAACATGAAGAACTTCTTTACTGAGCATTGGAGTAGGTTGCCCAGAGAGGTTGTGGAGTCTCCTTCCCTGGGGAAGATCCATCTGGACACAGTCCTGAGCAGTGTGCTCTAGGTGACCCTGCCTGAGCAGGGGCGTTGCATTAGATGACCCCCCAGTGGTCCCTTCCAACCTCAAGCACCCATGACTCCTTGAATACTGCTCACTATAAATGACTCATGACATGGAAAACACCAACATTTAAACAGCACTCGCAGAACCTGCAATTAGAACACAAGTACAGCACTTACACCAAGTAGCATTGCTCTGGCAGTCAGAGACTAGAGATAACCCCTAGTGCAATTTTACAGAATGAACCTGAAGTTTAAAATTAAACTATAATAAATAAAACATAGCTGCTACCAATTTTGCAATTCTTCCCTTCCTATAGTATATATGAAAACAAGACTTCTTTCTGTGTAAGTTGAAGAATGAAGAACTGCTTTTTGTTACTTTAATAAAAAATACAGTGTTTGAAGTTACACTTATAAACATCAAAATGTAAGTGTACATACATCAGACTGAACAGTTGTTCCTAGGTAACTGTGTAAAGGCTTCAAAAATAGTTTGTCACTTTACAGCATTTTTGAAAAGGACATCCTTTCAAAGGAATATATGTCAACAAGTACAGGTAGGAAGAATACAATTGTGGAGACCACAGTGAACATGATATAGCCACCTGAGCTACTACAAAGGAGCGCAGGCCTTGGGTTCAAATTCCCAGCAAGATCTCCTCTTTCCTAGCAAAAAAGCAGATTTATGTATTATGGCATACACAATGAAGAGGATCTAAAAGCATATTTCTGTCCTTAGTGTGAGCCTTCTTTGAAGGATTCTGACATATCTTGATTGGCAGCATCGTACTGAGCAATGAAATGTTTGAGTTCTTCTATACACCGTTCACCTATTTCATGCAAATTCTGCCTCAGGGCAAACTGAATGGACTTCTCCAATGACGGATCTTTATCAATTAGCATCTTCACTACCATGCCAAAGGTTTCACAGTCTTGTCGGTAGATCTAGAAAGAACACATTGTAGAAAAGAATTAAATGGAACACTCTTTACATTAGCACAGCAACAGCCCTCATTGAGTTAGGCACTACTGCAGACACAAACCAAACAAAGAATACTGGGTAACAGGAGTCTCAACTGTAAGATGCTTTTTCTCTTATGCCCCGTGCTAATAAAAATTTCAGTAGTTCAGAACTATCTGGATACAAGAAATCACTCTTCTTGGAAAAAATGCCTTAAAAAGAAAAATGAAGTTCCTCTTGCAGCAATATTTAATACATAATGGCAGAATTAAGTGCAAATGCTAAACCAGATTTTCACTGCAAATACGTATAAAATTAATTGTGGCATGTCTAGCAATCCCAGTCTTCATACAAAGCATCAATAACTTAGATTGTAATCTTTCCTAATACTTTAAATACAAGTTGTGTTTAAATAATTTCACCAAATTACGTTTGTTTGGTGGATATTTGTTTCTTATAGAAGTTCTTGACAATATGATTTTTATTACTTTGACTGCATTGGTGATTCAACCACTAAGGATAAGAGCAATCCTGGCAGTGGTTTATGTGAACCCAACTGATCTTATACTGCAGGGAACGAAGAGTTGTGAGTCAGTTATGTACCACAGTTGAGGAAAAGTAACTTCTCATTATCACTGCAACTGTTTTTTAAGACAAACATCCAACGATGCTTTTAGATGGTTTTCAAAGTAGAATCACAGAATCATAGAATAGTTAAGGTTGGAAAGGACCTTAAGATCATCTAGTTCCAACCCCCCTGCCATGGACAGGGACACCTCACACTAAACCATGTCACCCAAGGTCTCGTCCAGCCTGGCCTTGAACACTGCCAGGGATGGAGCATTCACAACCTCCCTGGGCAACCCATTCCAGTGCCTCACCACCCTAACAGGAAAGAACTTCTTCCTTATATCCAATCTAAACTTCCCCTGTTTAAGTTTTAACCCGTTACCCCTTGTCCTGTCACTACAGTCCCTAATGAAGAGTCCCTCTCCAGCATCCCTATAGGCCCCCTTCAGATACTGGAAGGCTGCTATGAGGTCTCCACGCAGCCTTCTCTTCTCCAGGCTGAACAGCCCCAACTTCCTCAGCCTGTCTTCATGCAGGAGGTGCTCCAGTCCCCTGATCATCCTCGTGGCCCTCCTCTGGACTTGTTCCAACAGCTCCATGTCCTTTTTATGTTGAGGACACCAGAACTGCACACAATACTCCAGGTGAGGTCTCACAAGAGCAGAGTAGAGGGGCAGGATCACCTCCTTCAGCCTCCTGGTCACGCTCCTTTTGATGCAGCCCAGGATACGGTTGGCTTTCTGGGCTGCAAGTGCACACTGAAGCCGGCTCATGTTCATTTTCTCATCAACCAACACCCCCAAGTCTTTCTCCGCAGGGCTGCTCTGAATCTCTTCTCTGCCCAACCTGTACTGAATCCTTGCAACTTTATTGTACTTTTTCCAGATTCCAGCTAAGGTTATTAATCCAAACACCCACCAAAAAAGGAACTTGTCAAAGTCTTCCAGCTGCCAGATGCAGTTCTTTTTCACACCTCTTTGGCCAATTTCCATTTAGAAAATACACTGGCTTTCTGAGTGCAGACAAGTAAGTTTTATATTGCTGTGTTTGTTTTTTTTTTTTGGGGGGGGGGAGCTAAAATGTTGATATACCTCAAAGTGTGATTATCTTTTAGCATTGGGTTCTTGTGTTAAAACGTGTTTTTTACGGAGATGCGTGACCTTCTCCTCCCCTATTTATCTATATTGCGGACCCACAAATGATACAATTGTATATACGCAATTTCCCACTAGTAAAAAAGAAAGAAAAAGAACCCTCCCCCAACCAAACACCACCACACTTTTATTCATAAGGACCAGTCCAAGGGCAGCTCAAGCATATTCATTCCAGAGGAACAGTAAAGCAGACAAATGAACAAACATTCTGCACACAAACTATTCTCAGAAACACGATGATTTAACATGATACCCTTAATAATGACAGTTCTCAAGTGTTTAATGGTATATTCTGTACCAACAGTTTAAAATAAGACCCACTTTTCAAGTGCTGGTTGGCAAATAAAAGAAAACCTTTTGAAAGAAACTAATTTTCAATGGAGATTAAGAAGCCAAAACGAAGACTGCAGTCCAAAACAAACCACAGCTAAACATCTTAAGTGTGGAAACAGTGTGCACATGGCATTCTTTCTGAGGGGTTTGTTTCCTCCTTTGTATGCTTTGTTCTTTGGTAGTAAAATATCAGCACAAACCCCAGACTCTCAGAGTTCATGTTCCACAGCAAGTAAACCACAATACATGCTAAGAGAACTTCAAACACAGTAAATTTGGGTTGCTTTTTCTCTGACTCTTTCCAAGGAAAAAGCTCAGGAAGAATTGCTGTCTCTGATTAGCCATATGACAGACAGATGGTATTTCACTCTGGATAACTCATGCCTTTCATGTACTTGCAGCACGCTTCCTAGCACCTTCACAGAATGATTTCTGAAATTTTTTCTCCCCAGAGCCATTATGTTTGGGGGGAAACAGTTAAAAACCTTCTTTTTTCTCCTCTTCATTTTTTTCCTTATTGCAAGTCTATTTGTCCTAGTCTATCACCTTTGAAGTGGTCAGAACAAGGATGTGTGAATGATCTTCCACAGGTAAACGAACCTGGTTACTGTCAGTCTTCAGAGGACGCTGTGCAACACTGGCACGAATGAAACCCTGACACTAACAGAGAACACAGACACATTGGCCTGTCTTCTGCACCAGAAGGCACCCGTAGCTACAGCTGAAGGAAATGCTCTACTTTTAATTGGCCTTCAAATTAATAGCAAACTGTGCTATCTGCTATTTGTCTCGCACACCACAAAGAACTAGCCCAGATGAAATTCTCTGACCCTTAGCATATAAATATTAGCTCAGTCTAAGCACATTTGTCCTTAAAACTTTCCCAAAAGAAGGCACGGAAGAGAATCAGGAGAGCCACTGCTGTCGCTGTGTCTGGAGTCAGAAGTCACCTTGCTGTCACAACAATCTGGAAACCAACCACCTTCATGTATAAGACGAACACTTTCAATTCTTTGTGACAAAAGACTTTAAAAATAATAAAACAGCACTGACCTAAAACAGGGGAAGAGGGCAGAGGTGGGGCAGGAAGGCAGTTCTAACAACAGAAAACAAAGGAAACAGCTCAGCTCCTCTAACAATAATTGAGCAATTTTCCCTCTACAAAGCTTTCTACCCCAGCTGCTATTTCTAATCCTCCCCGTGCAATCTGCCTCCTTCTCAATTGTGCTGATAAACCTATTTGTATAGCTGCGACATAAATTGCATCATTGAGATGATCCCGTTTTAAATGACTTCCCCCCCAATTAATGTGATTCAGTGATTCAATTCTAAAACCAGATGCACCAGCACAATTGAAAGAACTACAGGCCACAGTTGCGAAGTGGTAATAACTTCATAAACCAGTTTGTATCTGAAGTCAGTGCACCACTACCAGCTCTCAGAGAGAAGTTACTATGCTTTGCATAAGGGAGTAGGGATTATAAATACAAGAATATCAATTACAGAAGATATTAGCAGCTCAATGGTACAATCAGCTATGTTTAAAAATGGTGTAAACACTCAAAGTTCTTGTAAAAGAGGATGGTGACATGGCATACTAAAATCCATCCTCTCCACAGAAGAGAGAAGAAAGATGTTTCTGGAAAATAAGCCGAGAATGTAATGTTTGAGGAAGAAAGAAAACTGCAGAAAAGACCCCAAACAAGCAAACCAGCTCTCTGCAGGAGAAGAATATTTAAAGAACTTGTGACCCAACAAAGTTTGAAATGAACCCTACATTTAAAATTCCAGCTGATATTGATTTTGAGCTCAGACTGTGGAAAGCTTATCTGTAAACATCTGGAACTAAAAGCTGAAAACGGTTCCATGTGTGGGGAAAGAAGAAACAACATTTTTATATTGAAAACCAAGAAAGGGAATGATACCAACGACATGATTATTCTGTCTGATATATACGCCAGTTAATCCTGAAAACAGCTAAAGCCATGGGGTGAGCATTTACCAAGGCCCTAGCATACTTTTATTCTCTGACCTAAGCTACAGCATCAGCATAATGGAAAGAACATGTAACACTTTCGTAAGCAGTTGAAGGAGAAACAGAAACAGCTGTTCTAGTCCCAAATATATAAATGCATTTATATTTATTTTATATACACACACACTATATATAGTCTTGATTTTCCTGAGAATGAGAAGTACATAGGCAGAATTCAAGCTCTCTTTGAAGAGTTTTCCAAAGTCAGCACATCTGGCATCTGTGAGGTCAGAGGATCCCAAATATGCCTATTTTTATATTATTCTCATGGCATTTTAGCTCTTTTATTCTTACATGATAATAGCATAGAGGCTCTAGCTTAGATCAACCCTTCACATGCCAGTCTCTGTATAGCACTTACGCCTTGTCTAGATTCAAGTCTAAAGTTGTGGTGCACCTGCAACACATTAGTGAACACTCCTTATATATTTGGGAAAACTACACCAAAATTTGCACTTAGATCTATTTAAATATAGATCTAGCTAAAGCGATGGAGATGTTGGTCTCCAAGGTCGGAGGTGATTAAGCCCTAGAACACGCCAGGCAGAATGAAACTTTGAGGTTAATTGTGAAACTTTGCACAGACGCACATTAAGGAGTTCTCCAAAGTACCATCAACAGTGACTTAAATTAATTACAGTGTATGACACTGACATGACGGAGATGAAGGATACCACACATTCTCTTCTTCCAGCTCAGCTCTGGGGCATTAACCTCTAATGGAAAAGAGGGGCAGAAGCAAGCTCATGTGAACTGCTCACGTCTTAGATCGCTATATACCTTCTGCAATGATAATGCAAAAATGGTCCCAACTTAAACCAAAGAAAATATACTGAATGTCTCAGATGATGGGTGGAAACACTATCACCAAATCTTTGTTGTAAATCTGAAC